GCGCAAAGCTGACCTCATACGTCATCCACCCGGAACTGCTTCCAGTGTACAACAGTGAGCCCAAGCTACATTAAAGTGATTATTACGTTTTGAATATGGATATTTATCTTACAAAAACGCATCGATACACTACAGGAGGCCTTTGTTCATCCCCCGGAGCCATGTGAGACTTTTTTTTTTATGGATGGGCGCTTTTTATTTAACTTCTTTTGGACTGATGCATGCAACACCCGCTGAGTGCCATGAAACAGCTTGAAAGATCAAAGACCATTTTTAATATAACTCCGACTGGATTCGTCTGAAAGAAGAAAGTCATGTACACCTAGGATGACTTGAGGGTGAGTAATTTATGGGCTAATTTTCATTTTTGGGTGAACTAACCCTTTAAGGGGAACAGAGAGCAGAGATTGAGATGAGAACAATCTAAAAACGCTGCATTAATTATGCCAATCGCTGCAGAGTCAAGCAGGAGAGAAGACGTAGTTTAGTAATTAGCAGAAGCTCTATGGAAGGGATATTAATCATTCCTCTCTCTGAGGACATGCTTTCTCTGAAGACATTACCTTTTACTGTGACTTTCTGATTCAAATTATTAAATTCAGAAAAACAAGTTTTTAATAAAATTCCTTGAAATTGAAATCGAAGAACGAAAAAAAAAAAAGATCATTAAAACCAACAGATTGACCTTTTTATCTGGAGAGAAAAGTATCTGAAATTCATACAGACTGTATATATAAACATATACACTACCGTCAGAAGTTCAGAATTTTTTTTTTTTAATGCTTAAAAGTTTTGAAGATTTTTTAATGTTTTTGAAAGGAGTCTCTTCTGCTCACCAAGGCTGCATTACCTGCAATAGCAATACTGTAAAATATTATTATAATTACTCCAGTCTTCAGTGATCCTTCAGAAATCATCCTAATATGCTGATTTTGGTGTTCAAGAAACATATCTTATTATTATTATCAATATTGAAAACATTTTGGAAACTGAATACACTACCATTCAAAAGTTTGGGTTAAGTAAGATTGATATTTAAAAATAACTGCTGCTCTTTTGAACTTTTTATTCATCAAAAAATCATGGAAAAAAATGTTACAAAAATATTACGCTGAAACTATTTTCAAAACTAATAATAAGAACCATTAATAATAATTGAGCACCAATAATAATTGATAGTAATTGAGCAGCAAATCAGCTATTAGAATGATTTCTGAAGGATCATGTGACACTGAAGACTGGAGTAATGATGCTGAAAATTCAGCTTTACATCACCGGAATAAATGACATTTTAAAATATATTAAAATACAAAAACTGTTCTTTTGAACGGCAATAACATTTCACAATATTACAAAACATACTGTATATATCTGAAATTCATACAGACTGTATATATAAACATATACACTACTGTCAGAAGTTCAGAATTATTTTTTTTTTATGCTTAAAAGTTTTTGAAAGGAGTCTCTTCTGCTCACCAAGGCTGTATTACCTGCAATAGCAATATTGTAAAATATTATTACAATTACTCCAGTCTTCAGTGATCCTTCAGAAATCATCCTAATATGCTGATTTGGTGTTCAAGAAACATATCTTATTATTATTATCAATATTGAAAACATTTTGGAAACTGAATACACTACCATTCAAAAGTTTGGGTTAAGTAAGATTGATATTTAAAAATAACTGCTGCTCTTTTGAACTTTTTATTCATCAAAAAATCATGGAAAATGTTACAAAAATATTACGCTGAAACTATTTTCAAAACTAATAATAAGAACCATTAATAATAATTGAGCACCAATAATAATTGATAGTAATTGAGCAGCAAATCAGCTATTAGAATGATTTCTGAAGGATCATGTGACACTGAAGACTGGAGTAATGATGCTGGAAATTCAGCTTTACATCACCGGAATAAATGACATTTTAAAATATATTAAAATACAAAAACAGTTCTTTTGAACGGCAATAACATTTCACAATATTACAAAACATACTGTATTTTCGATCAAACGAATGCAAAATAAATCACTTTCTGAGCGCAAAAAAAAAAAGAAACAATCCAATCAAATCTCTCTGATACAGTTTTAGTATTTATTTTCCGATCACAATAACAAAAGAACAAATTGGCAGACAAAAACACGCGCAAATTTTAGCCAAATGTGCACTCAAGAGCGAGTGCTGCACTCTCATGAAAAGTGGAGATTAGAGATAGAGGCCTTCAGGGGTGCCCTCCTGCTTCTTATACAAAACGTTTTCTTTAGACTTCTTGAAGTCCTCGTTGGTGATCTTCATCCTGCGTTCGCTGAGGGCCATGAGACCTGCTTCGGTACAGATGGCCTGAAGAGACAGGAAGTGAAGAGATATACAAGATATACATGAGAAATACTGTGTTATATCTATATGAACAATTCTGCATTCTGAAAACTATAGAGAAAAAATTAATCAACACAAGAGGGCAGCAGAGCTTTTCTGCAACACTTTAAAATGAACCGAACCCCTTAACATACCTTAATATCAGCTCCTGAAAGGTCGTCTTTAGCCAGGATGAGGTCGTCTAGGCTTATGTCTTCAGCCACAGTTATTCTGCTAGTGTGGATCTGGAAGATCCTTCTCTTGGTTTTCTCATCTGGTAATGGGAACTCAATCTTGCGGTCGATGCGACCTGAGGGTGATAGAGAGAAAAATACCTTGAGGGTTCATCTAAAATGCACATAAGCTCTGAACATCACAGCATGAGTTGTGCAGTAGTATCTTACCTGGTCTAATAAGAGCAGGGTCAAGGGTCTCTATTCTGTTGGTGGCCATAATGACCTTCACATCTCCACGTGAATCAAAGCCATCCAGCTGGTTGAGAAGCTCCAACATGGTTCTCTGAATTTCACGTTCACCTCCTGAGTTTGAGTCGTATCTGCAAAGAGGTAATCAGGGTATATGACATTATATCTTTATTAAAGGAATAATTCACCCAAAAATGAAAATCTGCTTCAAATTTACTCACCCTCAGGCCATCCAAGATGTAGATGAGTGCTTTTCTTCATCAGAACAGATTTTGGAGAAATTTAGCATTACATCACTTGCTCAGCAATGGATCCTCTGCAGTGAATGGGTGCCGTCAGAATGAGAGTCCAAACAGCTGAGAAAACATCACAATAATCCAAAACATGACTCTAAACTTTCGCTTCTGGCCAAAATGTGAATGAAGAATCCATAAAAATGCTTCCTCCAGTGCTAAAGTCCATCCCCTGTTGTCCTCTCACATCAAAATCCACCAACATATTTGTTTAGAAATGTTTTGGACTGTTTTCAAACAGTGCTTGATCTGTGCATATTTCTCACCTGATTCAGACGAGATGACTTTTCCGCTGGTGAAAATATATTGTAAAGAGGCCTTGTATTTTAGCTGGAAGCAATGGTTTGAAGTCTTACTGATGGATTTGTTTCTTACAAACACACAGCTTTTCACTTCACAAGACATTAACTGATGGACTGGAGTGGTGTGGATTATTGTGATGTTTTTATCAGATGTTTGGACTCTCATTCTGACGAAGAAATAAACTCATCTACTTCTTGGATGGCCTAAGGGTGTATGAGTGTATACTCATGGATATGAGCATATTTGAAAGATTTCACAATATTGCTCTACCTCTTAGTTCCAATGGCGTCAATCTCATCGATGCAGACAATAGAAGGAGCATGTTCCTCTGCCACCCTGAAGAGCTCACGTACTAGTTTAGGGCCATCGCCGAGATACTTCTGAATCAGCTCAGAACCAACAACCCGCAAAAACGTTGCAGACGTCTGATTGGCCACTGCTTTGGCAAGGAGAGTTTTACCTAACATCCAGGAAAAATATATGATTGATCAAGACTTGTGATGTCACTACATGCCCTTATTTCTGTCTGTGAATTCTCATCAATTTCATTATAGGTAATGAAATGATCATCAGGAGACACACAGAGGGGTGTTGGTCTCACCTGTTCCAGGGGGTCCGTAGAGAATGACCCCTTTGGGAGGCTTGATCCCCTTTTCCTCATAATACTCTGGATGGGTCAGCGGCAGCTCCACAGACTCCTATAGGTCAAAACATTAGTTAAGCAGCATAAATTCATGTTTCCCTGATTAAACATCACAAAGCACCTGTAAAAAGTTTAACTATTATAAAAGATTAATCCTAGATATTCTCCTAGAGCAGAAGTTTTTTAAATATTTGTTGCATGGACCAGCGCATGATCCCCTTCTGAGGGACACCCTTCCTAAAATATAAACGCAGCTATATATTTCCATGTATAAAGCCACTCAAATATCAAGCACTATATTAAGAACATGTTTTTTTTCAAAATTACAAAATTAAATAAACAGCTTCGATCATTTTCGCCAGGCGAAACTGTAAGGATTTGTTTTTATTCTGACTTAATTTCTTGTATCTGACTGTCCAGTCCACCGATGTCAGCGTATGTCTCTTGTGGAGCCTTCTCCACCTTCATGACGGTAACAAGAGGGTCTGTGTCGTCCATCAAAACCCCTATGACAGCATGGACCTAAACAAAAAGTTATTCAATCATTTAAAAGGCAAATCTACCAACATTCAGTATCTGGAATTAGCTACAGGAGAGCAGCATTCAAATACAAACGGTTGCAGAGAGCAAGATATATTTTGAAGGGAAAGCTCAACCAAAAATGACAAGTCTGTCATCATTTATTCACCCTCATGTCGTTGCAAACCCAGAAGTCTTTGGTTAATCTTCAAAACATGAATTAGATATGTTTTTACGATTTTACAAGATATTTTTAATGAAACCTGAGAGGTTTCTGTCCCTCCATTGAAAGACCAGGTAACTAAAACTTAAAAGACCCAAAAAGGCATCATAAACTGAATCCATATGAATCAAGTGGTTTAATCCAATCCAATGAAGAGACACAATTGCTTTATATGATGATTGGATTTCATTTATAACCTAGATCATTTATAGCCTTTATAACCTTTTTGGATCTTTTAAGTTTTGGTTACCTGGACTTTCAACAGAGGGACAGAAACCTCTGAGGTGTTGTTAAAAACAGAGCTGCGCAATTAATCAAAATACAGTTTCGATTTCGATTTCAGCCTCCGACGATTATGAAAATACAATAATCGAGATAATACGATTATTGTGCCCCTTTCCAGCGGTGCGCGTTTGCTCCTCCATAAAAGCCCAATTTCACGTGCAAATCAGTAAAATCATGTAACGTGACTTTCACAAATTGGGACGTGCTTGATTTAAAGTTTATTAGATTTATTCATGTTTTTAAAAGCGTGAAAGAGAGCTTGCGCTGTTCCTCAGGAGGCTTTCTGTGCATGCGCTCAGAGACGGAACACAACACAGATATGTAAAGTCAACTTTTAGTTTAAGGTGCGCGCCTAAATGGTCAAATACGTGCAAAAATGTCAAAACGCAGCGCTTGGTGATTATTCACATAGACCCTCGTCGGTTATGCAATATATGAACATAAACAGTTGAAAATGAAAAAAATACATGTGTAACAGTGAATTGGAGCCGTGCGGCTCTTAAAGTGACAGCGGCTATATTCCTGCTGCCGACTGTGTGCTTAATATTAATCAAACAACAAAAGACAAAGAGAAAATCACTCACTGCTTTTGACTGAAGGACTTTTGTAGCTTTAATAAGAAACAAAGGAAGTCTAATTCTTACAGTGAAGACTATGCTGTTTTAATTTACATTCAATCATTGGATTTCTGTAGTAGGTTGTTAGCTGAATATTTTAGGCTTGCATAAAAACTTAAAGCACAATTTGTTTCATTTGTATTTTTTTTTTTCTATTGTATTTGTCCTTTTCTTTTTTTTTTTTATTACTGACCATTTCCAATAATTTTTGAGGACTTTTTTTGTTTTTTTTACTAATATTAGTTGCCCTAGAATTCTGCTGTAGCATTGAGAATAGTGAAATTTCTTTAAATCTCTAAATGTCTCTAAAATGTAGATGTCATAGCAACCTTATTTACAGAAAATATATATTTGATATATATCTTTAAATAATCACTCGTATAAAGTTTTGGTCATGTGGCCCACTCATAATAGTGTTAAATAACCGTGATTACAATATTGACCAAAATAATTGTGATTATGATTTTTGCCATAATTCAGAAGCCCTAATTAAAAATATCTTAATTTTCATTTTTGAGTGTACTATCCCTTTAAGTTTAAAAAATTTATCCTATTTCTACTTATTCCTGGTGGATATTGTACCTTGTGATTGAGTAAGACAGAACAGCCGGGCTCCAGCAGATCTTTGTCGACAAATGACAGAATGCTGACATAGTGCTCTGAGCCCACAGACGTGGAGACGATGGCATGATTGTCATCAATGATCTCCTCCAGGGTCCCCACAGACATAGGAGTCCCCCTCAGGTCATCGACCTTTGACCTCTCCTCCTAAGAAGTGCAAAAACATAACTCTCAGCACAGACAAATGAACAAAAAGGAGAGCGAGAGAGAAGATGGATGGATGATGGATGGGTGGATGGTGCACCTCCTGTTTCTCCTCTAGAGGTTTCATCTGCTCCTGGTTTCTGATGAACTCCTCTTCCATCAGCAGGTAATCTTTAATTCTCTCCTGCTTCAGAAGCTTCAGCCTGCACTGTGTGTGAGGTGTGACTATACAGAGAGAGAATCTGACACTAACTGAAAATCTGATATAAGACACAGTGGAGTTCAACAGCAAAAGTCACTTCTTGTACCTAAAAGCAGTTTGCTAGCAGCATCAGGGCCCTTGGACTTCCTCTTCTTCTTGCCCACTCTTGTTGGAATGGGTGGCTCATATTTCTTCTTCTTGTCCTGTTATGATGATAGATTAATCATTAAATAAGGACAAACCTCTGACTGATGCTGTTTTAAAATATCAGAGTTATGTTTGGTCACCTTATCATCTTTCTTTCCACCTTCTGGTCCGTGTCCTCCACTTTGACTCTGGCCCTGTGTTGAGAAAGATTCATGTCTAATATTCATACACACTGATATATAGTCTTTATTTATAGTCTAGTATTTAATTACAGCTTTAAATTTGTTTTTCATACATTAGAATGTGTCCTGTTTATTTATTTTTTCTGAGCAAAAATAATGACTACCACACATTTTTACCATGATTTACAGAAAAAAAGTCATTCAGTGTAACAAAAGTTCATATACCAAAAAAAAAAATAATAATAATCAAGTCAAGCATATTTACAACAAGATTCATTAGATAACATTACAAGACTATATTTAAGGATCACAGTGCAGCCCCAAAAAGTAATTAATTGTGATTTTACATTTTTACCACTATCCTTCAAAGCACTAGGTTTCACCCATTTGTCAGCAAGAAGTTTTTAAACATTTAAAAAATGTAGTAAAATTTAATATGATCACTTTTTCCTTTATATATTTTAATAAGTACAGGTCAGAATAAATATGTTGTTTCTTTTTTACAGAAATATATCTGTTTCACTGAATGACAATGGAACGTTATTTCATCCATATTTTGACATTTTTTGTCACAAAAGTTATTTGAAACATTAAAGTAGACACTTTATTTGCATTTAAAATGCTTTCTGTGTGTATAAGATCACTTTTGTCAATTTAATTTGACGCAGACACCAAAATGGGACATATATATCGCAGCATTATATATATATATATGTGTGTGTGTGTGTGTGTGTGTTAGCATTAATTCTAGAATAATCCGCTTGCAATAATACGGATGTCAATTGGTTTAATATTTTTTAATCTAATGCAGTGAAATTCATACACTTTTAAATGTGACTTACCACCACTGTACATTATTTAAAAGAAACAGGACCTGTGCTAAACCCTACATATACAAAACACTAACGTTACAAATATTTTTCTGTGTAAATTAAATATCATGAAAAAATAATATCCAAAATGACTGACTGACCACTTTAAATGGAATAGAAGAAAAACACTGAATACTGCGAAGGTGTTTAATAGGCTAAAGTTACGTCTGTCAAGATTCACTGCTTGTTTTCGCCCAGATTGCAGGAATGAAACAAGCTAAAATATACCATATTGTGTAACTGTGAGTTGTATTAACGGTTTGACACGTTTTAGGTTGTATGGGGGTTAGCAGAGTGATTTTAACGCTTTTAAGACCAATGGATATTTCTTCAGATGACATGAATGCTGTGTTGTTAATCCTACATCGATGTATTAAACACAGGTAGTTAAGAGACACCGTTCACGCGCCCGTTTACAAAGCTTTCACATACTATATTTGCAAATTGCAGAATTAACATAGAGAGATAGAAACAAATTAAACAATGAGTCGGTAAATAAACTTCTTCTTCTTCTTCTTTGAGGTTTAACGGCGGCTTGCATCCAAGAGCGTTGCATTACCGCCACCTTCTGGATTATTCTCCTGCAATGTTATTCCATTTTATTTCCTCCAGCTTGTTTTCCACAATCATATTTTCCTCATCAAACCCGTTCTACTTAAGAAATTACAAATATTTTTCCTGCTTTGTCTAATCACCCCAGTCCCTACCAACCTATCTCTTCTTAATTCTTCCATCATATTTCTCCTCTGATCTTCATAACTTCTGCAACTTAAAAGAACATGTTCTATGGTTTCTAATGCGGTAAATAAACTGTTAACTCACTCACCATTTCCCACCACCGCTGGTCACTGACAATTAACGTAATTACGGATAGACTAATGGGACAAAGGACGCGAAATACCGAAACGCGTTTTTCATTCACTGTAGTGCAATTTATCATTGGCAAAACGTTTGCTAAACACTATTAACACTGTTAGTTATGGGGCACATATTAGCTGTAGTGGATCACAGTGTCTGATCTGTGGTTCAGCCTCTCGATGTGTATTTGTCATAAATTTGTGAAGTTATGTAGGCCTATAGGAGGAATGTGCTTTGCATGCAAGTGTATTTGCTAGTTTGCTGCTATTTAAATATATTCTGAAATATTATTTTACTTAGTCATATATATAATAAGTAATGTTATTCACTATACATTATACAAACCCAATTCCAAAAAAGTTGGGACACTGTACAAATTGTGAGTAAAAAAGGAATGGAATAATTTACAAACTCATGTCTCTGCTGGTTTGTTGCATTAGTTCATTGTGTGTAAGGCAATTCCTTGTCAGTCTACTCATCATATTAGTAGTGTTAGATTTTACTCTCCTAGTCAGTCTAGCTTTGCATTTAGTTCTCTTGAAGTTTATTAGGGTTTCTTTGCTTTTGTTATTTTGCTCTAGTCTAGTTCCTGTCTCTGTTTGCTCTCGTTTTCTCAAGCCTCTAGTTTGGTTTCTTTCTTTCTTTATTTTGATTTTGTCTTTGCCCAGTTTTTATTCTAGTTATCGATTCCTAGAATTTGCCTTTTGGTTCTTT